ATTGCCTGCATGTGTGTAAGTGCACCCATGTTATGCAATGCCCCCAGAGGCCAGAAGAGGGTGTTGGTTTCCCTGGAACTGAAGTTATGGACAGTTTTTGGCTGCCATGTAGGCAGCCTCTTGTCCTCTGCAAGAGCAGTCAGTGCTCTTAACTACTGAGTCATTTCTCCAGCTCCAAAGGACTAATGACTTTTAATCAACCCCATGTGCTTTTGTGTCTTATGACCTTGGCACCTAATAGGCAACTGCAATTTGGTACACCACTCAAAAAGATATGTGAGGGCATGCTTAACATAGCAAAACGCTGAAAGATGGTGGTCAATCTCCAGTGAACACAGTGGAGGTTGGGAAGGGTGATTGACCTTGAATGAATGAGGTATTCTAGAACTGGGGTGAGGTGGTTGGAGAGATGGCTCAGTGGTTAAGAGCACTGGTTGTCTTGCAGAGGACCTGGATTATATTCCCAGCACCCACATGGTAGTTAACAACTGTCTGTAACTCCAGTTCTAGGGGATCCAACACCCTCTTCTGACACTGCCGGCATTGCATGACACAGGTGCACTTACACACATGCAAGCAGTACACTCATACACATAAAATAGAAAATAATAAAACTAGGGATGAAAAGACCAGATGGTCTGTTTAGATTAGGGTGGAGCTGTGAACCAAAGTTCCCAGAAAAACTGTGTCTGAAATTGAACATTCCAGCCAGGTGAGGTGGCACATGCTTTTAATCCCAGCACTTGGGAAGCAGAGGCAGGTGGATCTCTGTGAGTTCAAGGCCAGTGTGGTCTACATAGTGAGTTCCAGGCCAGCTGGAAAGGCTGATGAAATGATAGAACTTCAGTGATTGTGGAGATTTTGGAATGTTGCAGGGCTAGAACTTAATTATCATTTATCTTGGGCTATCTTTAGTTTCCTAAATAGCCACTCCTTGCCCACCTTTGTTTTTATCTGTTAGTCTCTGGTATAACAGATTAAAAAACCTTTTGGAATGTATTAACTAAGCAGACTACCAGATATCACCAATCAAAAAGCTAAGAATGTCATCAGATTGCATCTGAGACCTATAGTAACCCCCCCCCACACACTTTGTCATGACCTGCCTACTTAATGTTTCCCCCAGTGCATTTGAAATGGTCTTGATTTGACTTTTATTTCTTCTGTTCCTATTTTTTTGGGGGGAGTCTTTTTTTTGAGACAGGGTCTCCCTGTAGCCCCAGCTGGCCTGGAACTCACTATGTAGACCAGGCTGGCCTTGAACTCACAGAGACCCGCCTGCCTCTGCCTCCGGAGTGCTGGGATTAAAGGCGTGCACCACCATGTCTGGCCCCTTCTGTTCCTGTTTTTTTTTTAAAAAAAAAAACACCTATAAAACTGTTATCACATTGGAACGTGGACTTTGGGGTAATCTGAATCTGTGTTCCTGGGCCATGATCACTCATATTGGCTCCAGAATAAACTATCTCTTATCCTCTCCGAGGTGAGAGTTGCGTTTTGGCATTGACAAAGTCAAGCTTGTACTTCTCCAATTGAAGCTGGAGAAACCATTTTGAATAAAATCATGGGTGGAGCTGGACATGAGACAGTTTACAGGGCCAGAGTTCCATCAAGACAATTCCATCCGCACAGTTCCAGGAGACAAGTTCCAAGAGATCTCTAGGGGAAGGAGTGTCCTCTGAGTCCCGCCCACCCTTAAAAATGAAATTTTAGATTTACGCTTTTATTTGTTCAGGTAATTATGCTTGAATGCCATCACACATAGTGATTCTGTTTATAAAAGGGTCGTGTGTGTGTGTGTGTGTGTGTGTGTGTGTATGTGTGTGTACATGTATGTGCAGAAGACATTCTTAGAAGCTGTCTACCTTGGTTATTGTTTTTGTTTGGTCTTTTTGAGACAGTGTCCCTGTAGCCCCCACTGACCTACAACTTGCTATGTAGACGAGGCTGGCCTCAATTTCACAGAAATCCACCTGTTTCTGTCTCTCAAGTGCTGGAATTAAGGGCATATACCACCATGCCTGGCCACCTTGTTTTTTTGAGACAGGGTCTTTCATTGGCCTGAATTTGCCAAGTAGGCTAGGCTGCCTGGCCAGTTAGCCCCAGGAATCCTCCTATATCTGTCTCTCAAGAGCTTGGTTTACAAGTGTACACTACTACACTGCTTTTTCACATGGGTTCTGATTATTTGCCAAGCACTTTACCAAATAAATCATTTCCCAAGACCCCATTACTGGAGGGCTTAATGCAAAAGTCAGGACTCTAGAGCCAGGCATGGTGGCGCATATCTGTAATCCCAGCACTCGGGAGGCAGAGGCAGGTGGATTTCTGTGAGTTCGAGGCCACCCTGGTCTACAAAGTGAGTTCCAGGCCAGCTAGGGCTACAGAGAGACCCTGTCTCAAAAAGACAAAAAAAAAAAAAAAAAAAAAAAAAAAAAAAAAAAGTCAGGACTCTGGCAGCTCCAACAGGCTAAGCTCTGCACCCATCCCTGAGATATTAAAGAGGTGTGTTAGAGGATGTGACTGTCCTTTTAAGATGCTGGTCACTCTAAGATCTCACAACCTGAAGAATCAGGCCACACCCCTCCACAGCTCTCTCCCTGGGATGGAGCTAAGAAGCTGTTCTATGCTTTACTTATTGGCCTGACTGGCCTTGAATTCAGAGATCTACCTGCCTCTGCCTTCCAAGTGCTGGGATTAAAGACATGTGCCACCATGCCCGGTTGTGGTTTTTAAAGCTACTACTTTATGGTCCTATTCAGTACCTGGCTTCTCCACTCTGTCACACAGGCTATCCCAGACTAAATCATGTGGTGTGGAACTTTCCACCACCACCTGAAATGTTATAAAAGTCAGATTGTTTTGTTTTGAGGGTTTCTCTAAAAGCTTTTTGCCTACCACCCTCTCCATAAAGGCTCTCTCATTTTATTTCTCCTGATGAAACTTTTTCAGGTTTTGAAGTGAAGCTTTTGTGAATTCACCTGCTGCACTGCTCCTTTCCTCCATTTAACAATATGTAGTGATGGGTTGGAGACGGCTTAGTGGTTAAGAGTGCTTATGGCTCTTCCAGAGAATTCGAGTTCATATCCCAACACCCACATGAGGCAGATCACAATCATTACTGAAGCTCCAGTGAATGATGCCTCTCTGGTCTCCAAGGGGACCTATACACATGTGACATATACTCACTTAGAAACACACCCACCCATACACATAAATCTATAAAAAAACAAAACGGTGAAAAGCAGAGCAAGGAAATTTATTCAATGTGGTCACTTTGAGAAGAGAAACAACTAAAGTGTCACAGTGACACCTAAATCTGACTTTGGGTAACTGACAAGAAGTTTAGATTGGCCAAGGTGGTCCCATCCAACACTGATTCATTGCCTGAACTCTGGTCCTGCAAGGCAGTCTGATAAAGTTGTTAGTCTGTTAATCCCTAACAATGCAACCTTGCTCTCATAGATAACTGTCTTTTACCAGGAATGATCTGACCTGAGAGCTCAAGGTGATGGAAGATGAAAGGTTAAGGACAATACCTATTTCTGTGTCTTCAGTGAAAGTAGACTCAAAATGATGGCATGGATGCCAGGGCCAGGCTCCCATCTTGCTTTTAATTACTTTGTGATTCCAAGTGAGGAGCTAAAGGTTTTTGTGTTGTTTTGTTTTTTTTTTCTAAGCAAAAGCAAATTCTAATAACCCATTTCAGTTTTGCAAAACAGGATCTGAGGCAGTAGGAACAGGAAACAGAGATGTTCAGGGGTGAGATGGCTCACCACAGGGCACAAAGGAATTATGGGAAATGATGGGAATGTTTCATACCTTGATTATGGTGGTAGCTACAAAGTGTGTGCTTTTGTTTATTTTTATTTATTATTTTGAGTCAGAATCTTACTGTGTAGCACTGGCTGGTCTGGAACTAGCTATGTAGACCAGGTTAACTTCAAACTCAGGGATCTATCTGCCTCTGCCTCTCAAGTGCTGAGATTAAAGGCACACACAACCACGCCTGGCTCAAAGTTGTGTGCTTTTGTTAAAACCCATAGAACTATACTTTAAAGAGTGAATTTTATTTTACATGACACTCGAAGAAACAATTCTGAAAAGTGGAGCTACATGCAGCCTCTGCTTTACTGGTCCCTCTGGTCCCCTCCTCTGTTCAACTACTGAGCTCTTCAGAATTGGAAAACAAGCCAGTTTCATTTTTCAAATGCCCAAAAGGAGAATGGAGTCCTGTCTGAAGTTACCCTGTTGGCCATGGGTAGAGACTGAACAGAGAGCACTGTGAAGGTGAAGGTAAAGCTTGGACCTGCCCATTGGGACAGAAGCTAGATGTATCAGTGGCCAGCCTGGGCCTGGACAGAAAGAGTAGGTGGTAATACAGGAGGGTAATCTCAGAACCAGTTGGGCCCACACCTGGTGCCCTCCACTTACTCAGCAGAATATCTAGAGTGGTGCCACACAGCTTACCTAAACCAAACAGTAACTTTCACACATACAATTTGATTTTCCAGGATGAATTCTCTCACATTTATTTTCAAATTTAATGACTAGCAATCATTCAGTTTATCTTACTTGCTAGTATTACTTACTCATTTTGTTTTGAAGACAGGGTATCATGTACCTGAGGTTGGCCTCAAATTTGCCTCGTAGCTAAGGATGAACTTGAACATATGATTCTCCTGCCTCTATCTCTTGAGTGTTGGGATTAAAGGTGTGTGCCAACATGCCCGGCTTATACAGTGCTGGGGATTGAATCCAGGGCTTTGTGCATACTAGGTAAGCACTCTACCAACTATGCCACATTCCCATCTTTACTGACCAAATGATATTGATCTTCAGTCTTTTTTTAATTTTTAGAAATTTATTATTTTTATTTTATGTATATGCATGTATTGCCTGCATGTACGTTAAGTGAACCCGTGTCATGCAATACCTGCAGAGGACAGAAGAGGCTGTTGGATCCCCCGGAACTGGAGTTGCAGATAGTTGTTAGCTGCTATGTGGGTGCTGGGATTCAAACCTGGGTCTTCTGAAAGAACAACCAGTGTTCTTAACCACTGAGCCATCTCTCCAGCCCCGATTTTCAGTCTTTTAATTGGCTAAATAAAACCAAAGAAAACTGGGTACGAGAATTCCTTAGCCATTGTAAACACAACATTGATGGAGTATGCATACATCTTCTAGTAAAAAAGGACAATATAAATAAACATTTTCAAGAATCTCCCAATGTCTGCACTGACACTGGGCCACACAGCATGGTGGGTGTGCAGGCTGGGCTCAGGCAGCCACATGACACCCAACCATGCTACACTAAGAAGTAGCACACGGAGCTGGGAAAAACTTCAGCTTGCTCAGTTTTCAAAAAGAGTGGATTCAAACTCTATTTGCTTTCAGAGAACTGAGTGGGGGCACCCAACTTCACAGGGTGATCCCACTAGACAAAAAAAAAAAAAGTTAACACAACCAATAACTCCTAAAAACAAGATAGCAAAAAGACAACTCACAGAACTGCTGACTCATGACAAAAATTTAAAGTGCTTTTCAAAACACTTTTTTTTTTTTTGTTTTGTTTTGTTTTTTTGAGACAGAGTCTCCCTGTAGCCCCAGCTGGCCTGGAACTCACCATGTAGACCAGGCTGGACTTGAACTCACAGAGATCTGCCTGCCTCTGCCTCCCGAGAGCTGGGATTAAAGACGTGTGCCACCATGCCTGGCTCAAAACACTTTTTAAAATAAACAAGAATGGACAGTGCTTCTTTAAAAAGTCTAGTAATGAGGATATTATGGGGGTCAGAAGAAATCAGGCTGTGTTGAAAGATCAAAACTGAAAGCTCAAAAGTAGGACTATAAGGTGTGTTCACTGCACATTACCAACAGTTTGGTTAAGATCCCAAAGTCTTTGAAATTCCAGACACTGGAAGAACAATCCCCAGCAGGGGTTTTATTCCTTGTAGCTGTCCTTGCTGTCACTGTAGCACCAACTCCAGCTATGGACACCACAGCTACCACTCTGACCATGCTGTAGTCTCTACAGCCTTGGTACCTTCCCCAAAGCTTGTCTCCTCGACCCCTGGAGAATCCATGTTCAGTTCAGCATCTGGCAAAGCCAACTTAATCCCCAGACTTCAGTCCCCAGACCATGATGTTCATGGCCATACAGTGGTCTTAGCATCATCAATATTCTCAAAGGTGACATACCCAATCCCCCACTGCTCCTTGAGGCCTTCTGTCAGCTGCTCATTCATGTTGAAACTCAGCTCTCAAAATGCTGAACTTCACGATGGCACGGTGGCCTGCTATGCTGAGTCAGTCAGGACCCTGGCATGAGATGGGGAGTGGAGGCAGGGACAGTAGGCTGGTCTCCAGCCTCCTAACACACAAATCTGTTAGGAATAGTTACACCTTCTTATTTAACTTTCATTTATGCCATTCTACCTAACATAAAAGTTATTAAATTGTTTCCCACATTTACCACATCAAAAATGTCTTTCTTGAAAAATTTTTTTGATATGAATTAAGTATCTTTCAGATCCATCATTCAATGGTGGTTTCTCTCCAACACGGGATACTTGATGTTGAGAAAGGGTTGATGCTCCACTGATGGCTTTTCTACATTCTTGGCATTTATAGGGTTTCTCCCCAGCTTGGATTTTCTGATACTCCATGGGTTCTGGTGTAGTGCTCAAAGTTTTCCCACATTCATTACATCCCAGGGATTTGTCACCACTGTGAATTGTCCACTGCAGAACAAGGTTTGCACTGTGGCTGAAGGCCTTTCCACGTCTCTCTCTAGTGGACAGGTGGCTAGAGTCATAAACAAAATCTGGGCCACATTGAAATTCCTGTGGGTTCTCCGCCATGTGAATCCGTTGATGCTGAGTGAGGGCTGACCTTCGGCTGAAGGCTTTCCCACAGAGACCACATTCATAAGGCTTTTCTCCAGTGTGGACACGCTGGTGTAGAGTGAGCTGGGAACTCTGGATGAAGGCCTTCCCACATTCAGTGCACTGATATGGCTTCTCCCCCGTATGCACTCTGCGATGCTGCATGAGAGTGGAACTGCGGCTGAAAGCTTTGCCACACTCATTGCAAACATAGGGCTTCTCTCCAGTGTGAATCCTTACATGCTCAGTAAGGTGAGAATTGAAGCCAAAGGCTCTGCCACATTCACTACACACATACGGTTTCTCCCCAGTGTGAACCCTGTGATGGAGAAAAAGGCTGGAGCTCTGACTGAAGGCCTTCCCACACTGACTGCATTTGTGGGGCTTTTCTCCTGTGTGAATCCTCTGGTGCTGAATAAGGCTGGCGTTTCGACTGAAAGCCTTCCCACACCAACTGCATCCATGTGGCTTCTCTCCTGTGTGAATCCTCTGATGCTGAGTTAACTGGGGACTCTGGCTAAAGGCTTTCCCACATTCATTACACTTATAAGGCTTCTCTCCTGTGTGGATTATACGATGCTGAATAAGACTTGAGCTTCTACTGAAGGCCTTCCCACACTGACTGCACCCAAAAGGCTTTTCTCCAGTGTGAATTCTCTGATGTAGACGGAGATAGGAATTGAGCCCAAAAGTTTTCCCACATTCATCACATTTAAATGGTTTATTTCCAGTGTGAATTCGCTGGTGAAGAATAAGGTTTGAGCTGTGAGTAAAGGCCCGTCCACATGGACCACATTCATAAGGCTTTTCCCCAGTGTGACTTCTACGATGTCGACTTAGGTCTGAATTATATTTAAATGTTTTGCTGCATATGTCACATTTAAAGATTCTCTGTCCTGTTTTATTTCTTTGAATTCTAGCACTTTGGCTTGGATTCAAGTGTCTGTCAAATGCACCACATGCCTGAGTGTCCTCGAGAAGTTGTTCCCTACATACAGCAGACTCTGCTCTCACAACTCTCTTCAAACTCTGACTAGCTGAACTTCCCGGGTTCCCTTCTTGTTGACCCTCATGGTCATGAGTTTCCTGGGACCCAGGTGCTTGTGAATCAGCCTTTGGGAATTTTTGTAATATTAATTCTGGGGCTTTTACTTCTTCAGAACATTTCTGGTTTAGAATGGATAGTTCCTCCTTGGTCCTAATCTCAGAATCTGTTAAACAAAAACACAAATGAATTACTAAAGGAAATCACCCATCAGCAGTAGTCAGTTTTCTTTTTTTAAAAAAATATTTTATTATTTTTATTTTATGTGTACGAGTGTCTTGCCTGCATGTATGTGAGTGCACCCATGTCGTGCAATGCCACGGAGATAAGAAGAGGGCTTCGGATTCCCCTGGAACTGGCGTTAAGGATGGTTCGTAGCTGCCATGTAGGTGCTGGGAATTGAACCCGGGGTCCTCTGCAAGAGCAGTTAGTGCTCTTAATCGCTGAGACAACTCTCTAGCCCAGTCACAGTTTTCTTGATGTTTCCATAAGCTATTAAGCAAAAGTCAGATGCTCCAGTAGGAAAACATGATAGAATTCAGAAACAAGGATGGCCAACTGGCAGAATGAACACAGTACTATTCATTAACATGATCAGGAATTGGGGATTTGGCTGAGATGGTTTAGTGCCTTGCTATCCCTAGCACCACATAAAAACCAGAAGTAGCAAACAGTAGCAGTGAATGCCTACAATCTCAGCACTTGCATGGCAGAAGCAGGAGGGAGGGAGGGAGAAAGTGCATGACAGAGAAGAGCTCTTACACTGTAAGATGGAAAGCAGAAAGGCCTGTTCCCAGTGACCAAAGGGCTACCCACTGTAGGGACTATGCTTCTATAGAAATCCATGTTTCTGTGAGTGACATTTGCTTAATCCATAGTATTACCTGAGTCTTCTAACCACTCCCTTTTGGTTCCTGTGTGGAAACCAATTCTCCAAGTCCTATCTCATCCCCAGTTGGTTAACTAAATGTAAAACCTAGATTAAACCACTGGCATGGCTCTTCCATGTTTGCTTTAAATCTTTCAGCTATTTATGTGTTGCCTCAACTCCTATCCATGTTTTTGCCCATGCCTTGAACCCCAATTAGAGTGAAGCCCCAGGCCTTCATCCTCTTTATGCTAACTAGGCTCTATATACTCACTGGACATTTTGGGTACCCTCAAGACCTTCAGCAATAAAATCTCCACTTTATGTTTCTTCTGAAGGGGTATTCTCCACAAAGGGAGTGGGGGTACACATATAACAGGGCAATGTGGAGAAAGCAGAGATCCCTCTCCCTACTCTGAGAAAATATAAACCCGAATTTCAGCATTTGGTCTCTGAAGGAACAACTTAGTTCTGAATCTTGAATGCTCAGGAAATCATGAACTAAGTCTGGTACATGTGTTACAATGGATAAGCCTACAAAGATATAGCCTTATTATCCAATGGCCATAGTTTACATTAGGGTTCAATATTAACAAAAAAAACCTTTAAACTTATTGTGTGTGTGTATGCATGATATTTGTGTGGGAGCAAATGCTATGGTATATATGCGGGGGTCAGATGACAACATTCAGGAATTGGTTCTCTTCTTCCACCCTTATACGGGTTCCTGGGTTTGAACTCAGGGTTGTACACCAAGCACCCTTATCTTGTGTGTGTATGTACATCAAGATTGAGCCCTGGACCAGCAAAACGGCCCTGTGGATAAAGGTGCTTGATGTACAACCCTGAGTTCTCTAAGAGTTTTGACAAATCATTGGCATGGATTCACCACGTAGTACTACGTGTTTCATTGCCATGAAAACCCTCCATGCTCCATTTACTTATTCTTAACTTTTTCACTCCCTGGCAGTCATTTTTACCATCCCTAGGTTTTGTTTTTGTTTTAATTTTTGAGGGGAGGGGGATTGAGATAAGGTTTCATGTTGCCAGTTGGACTTGCTTTGTAGCTAAGGATAACTTTGAACTCCTGATCCTCCTGTTCTGCCTCTACCTTCAAAATGTTGGGATAACTTCATGTGTGCTACCATGCCTGGCTCTATATCTATAGCTTTGTCTTTTAAAACAAAAAAATTTTTTATTTGTTATTTTATGTGTATGAGTGTATTGCCTGCATGTATGTGAGTGCGCCCATGTTGTGCAATGCCACAAAGGTCAGAAGAGGACTTTGGATTCCCCTAGAACTGGAGTTAAAGACAGTTCGTAGTCGCCATGTGGATGCTGGGAATCGAACCTGGTTCCTCTGCAAGAGTAGTCAGTGCTCTTAATCACTGAGCCATCTCTCCAACCCCCAGGTTTGTCTTTTTAAGAATATCATGGAGCAGGGCCTGGTGGTGCATGCTGCCATTAATTCCAGCACTTGGGTAGGTGGATCTCTGTGAGATAAAGGCCAACCTGGTCTACACAGTGAGTTCCAGGACAGCTGGGGCTACAGGGAGACCCAGTCTCAAAGAAACAGACAAGGAATAACAACAAAAAAGAATGTCATGGACCCAGAATCTAGGATATAGCCTTTTTGGATTGGCTTCCTTCACTTGATAACCATATAAAACTTCTTCATGTCTCTTGATGATGAGATAGCTCAGCAGGTAAATGTACTTACTTCTTTTCTTTTTTTTTATTTTTATTTTATGTGTATGTGTGTATTGCCTGCATGTAGGTAAGTGCACTCATGTCATGCAATGCCCTCGGAGATCAGAAAAGGCTGTCAGATCCCCTGGGACTGGAGTTACAGACAGCTGTTAGCTGCCATGTGGGTGCTGGGATTCGAACCCAGGGCTTCTGCAAGAACAACCAGTGTTCTTAACTGCTGAGCCATCTCTCTAGCCCTGGTAAATGTACTTATTTCAAAGCCTGATCTGAGTTTGATCCCTAGGACCCACATAGGAGACTCTGAAAGTTGTCCCTTGACCTCAACATGCACACTGTGGCATGTGTGTGCTAATACACACACACGTACGCACGCACTCCAAATAATTCATATAAGTAAATTAGGGCTGAAGAGATAGATAAGTGGTTAAATGCACTTACTTCTCTTGCAGAGGACCTGGGTTCAGCTCCTAGCATCCATATGATGGCTTACAACCACCTGTAATTCCAGTTTTAGGGGAGCCAATGCACTCTTCTGGCCTCTCCAGCACCAAGCACACACATAAAATACAAATATACATGCAGGCAAAACATTCATCTACATAAAGTAAGAATAAGTAAATACCCTTTAAAAAGAAATAAAGTATAATTAAAATAAATAAAATTCCTCTGTATCTCCATCATTTCATATAACTAACCATTCTCTGGATGAACTGGTTTATCCATTTATGTACTGGAGAATACCTTTATTTCTGTAAGTTTTGGCAATTATAAATAAAACTGATGTAGCTGGGTATGGTAGCCCACGCCTTTAGTCCTAGCACTCGGGAAGCAGAGACAGGCGGATCTCTGTGAGTTCAAGGCCAGCCTGGTCTGCATAGCCAGTTCTAGGCCAGCTGGAGCTACAGGGAGACCCTGTCTCAAAAAGACCTAAATAAATAAGGAAATAAATAAATAAATAAATAAATAAATAAATAAAATGAAACAAACATCTGTATACATATTTTTGTGTGGGTATTAAAAAAAAGAAAAAAGAAAAGAAAAGGGCGTAGTGGAGCATGCCTTTAATCCCAGCACTTGGGAGGCACAGGCAGTTAGATCTCTGTGAGTTTGAGACCAGCCTGGTTGGTCTAACCTAGTGAGTTCCAGGACAGCTGGGGTTACAGGGAGATCCTGTCTCAAAAAAGACAAAAAAGAAAAAACAAAACAGATTTTTGTGTGGGTATAAATCTTCATTTGGGTATATGCCAAGAACACAATTGCTGATCTTGTAACAAATATTTTAAGTTTTACAAGACATTGGCAAAGTACCTTTAGAGGTGGCTACATTTTGCATTCTAACAGCAAAGAATGAGTTACTGTTGTATCACATCCTTACTAGTACTGATGTTGACAGTGTTCTGAATTTGAGCCATTCTAAAAAGTGTGTGCCAATACCTCATTATTTTAATTTGCAATTCCTTGGCCCCAAGTGCTGGGATTAAAGGCATGTTTTACCATACCCAGCTGTTTATCTTTTTTTGTGTGTATGAGGTGTCTGCTTAGGTCTTTTGCACATTTTAAAATCCAGGCTGTTCATTTTTCTATTCCTGAGTTTTAAGAGGCGTTGTTAGGCTGGTGATGATTAGGCATGCCTTTAATCTCAGCGCTCTGGAGGTAGACATAGGCTGATCTCTGTGATATACACAGCAAATTACAGGCCAGCCAGGGATACATAGTGAGATCCTATCTCAACACCCCCAACACTTGCAAAAGACTTGTTGCTCCACATTTTGGGTAATCCACTTATTAAATGTAATATTGGATGTAATGTTTGCAAATATACTTAGTCTAAGACTTTTTCCCCCCTTTTGAAATTGTCTTTGGAAGAGTTTATCTTAATGAAGTTTAGACTATCAATCATGCTTTATGGATTGTATCTTTGGTGTTGTTTATAAACAATACATTTTGTACTGTTACCATTTAGAAGCTTTAGAGTTCTGTTTTTATATTTAGGTCTATGGCCATTTTGCCATGGACTAAATATTGTCCTTCCTTACAATTCATAAGTTAAAGTCCTAACTCTTTTTAAAAATATTTTATTTATTATTTTTATT